TATGTATGGGGAGATCCCACTGGGGACCCCAGAGTAGCCATCGTAAGCACTTGGCACAAAGCAGAGTCGATAAACAGGCCTCTGTTAATAAGCTAATGTACAAGAGTGATTAAGCAATGGAATTAAAATTTTGGTCCCTAAACAGCTGTACGTCAGTCAATCATAACTCATGACATTGTTCCTAGTGTATAGATGTACAGCAGCCTAAAATGAAAGTTTTTAAAGCAAAGTAAAATATGTGCTACGTACAAAGCAGAAGCAATAGGAATCTTCAAAAAATGGAGATGGCTGTCTATTTGGGTGTACTTTGTAATACTTTACTTGAATGTTTACAGCATGCTGTTTGCAAAGGAAAGATTTGGGTCTAATTTCAGGCATGCTGTGCACACTGGAGTGTATGGAAATGCTGTAGCTACAGACTCTGCTGTGCAACAGATTGGAATCCCCCCTTTGGCCTGTGCTCTGTGCTTGCTGGGGGAAATGGGGTACGTTTTGAATTAATAGCTGTCTGTGCGAGTTGCAACTGTTTTTGTGTGGTGAGACAGGCAAAGGCAGCTGAGTGTCCCGGCTGTTGGTCAGATGTTACCTAATTAATGACTGTTGCATGTTAATTATGTATTAGTGACTTGCTGCTGTGTTGTATAGGTCAAGTGGAGTCCCCTGCTGGAACGAGTGTTCCACAGCATGAAGGATGGGATATAGACATAATGCTTCTATTGGGGATGTTTCTTAATTCCTAGTCCTAATGTGTGTTTTCTTTGTTAGGCAGCAATATCACCATTGAAAAAATGGCCATAATGTCATGGTCAACACCCAGCTTTTGCAGGGCACTGTGCTCAGCTTACGTTTCAGACCTTTAGTACAGAGTCTCGGACTGTATTTGGGAAGTGCCTGGTGGTTGCAGTTGAGGTCCTTTGTTGAATGTGGAATTTATTTATTTTTTTTTTCCTCCTCTAGTGGTAACTTAGCATTCAAATGTGAAACGCTACATAAAGAATGAAATTACCCTCTTGGTAACTAGGTTTTCCAGCGCTTTACAGTTTTCTAGGCCATAGACCTTCTTGTTCTTCACATCAGAAACTCCCAGCCAAGTTAAGATGACTCTGTGTCAAAACTTTTTATGCCTCTGTGATTGAATTTCTAGCTAATGAAAATTATCTTCAGATCTGCATGGGTGGATCTTGACTCCAATGTTCTTCTCTGCCTACGTGCACAGATCTCCTTTTAAAGTCTGTGGGAGTTCTGCTTATGAAAGAAGATAGACTACCAATATCAAGATCCACCATATAAAGCAGCAAAAAGAGCCTTTTGCCCTCTTATCTTTAACACTTGGCTCAATGCTGAGCAGTAGAAGAACATTTTTATCCAGGAGTGTGTGAAGGCCCGAACTATAATGGAGCTTTGAGTAAGCAAGAGGAAATAGCAAAGTTTGTGATATTTCTGTAGGTGCAGTTGGACACGGAGTGGGGATAATAGTCTGAAACAGCAGAGAGGAAAGGAACAGTAAGATGTAATGAACAGTGAAATCAGATATAACGTCATGATCTGAAAGATTAGGATCCAGCAAGAAGACAGAAAGAACAGAAAGCTAAAGGGAGCAAGACTGGAAAGGGAAATGTTTTATATCTCTGGTTTTAGGCACTGTGGACATCTAGGGGTACTCGGATCTTCCTCTTTCTGCTCTCATCTATTTCTGTG